AACCATTCAGAATGAAATCCCAGCCTTAATAAATGATGAACATTTCAATGACCGGAGATTAAATATGCGTATTGGCTCTCCTGACATACAGGGAGTGTCAATACGATGCATTATTCAAGCATCTCTCCAGGGATTCCCTATAGCACAATCCAACATACCACAGCCTTGTGAGCACATCAAAGGGCAGCTACCTGTATCTAAGTCGCTAGACAATGGTGCCCCATATAATGCCGGTGATCTGTGATAACTGTTGAGGTAGCTGGAGTCACATCTCACCAGTGTTAAATGCCCTGCCCTGTCGTGTTTCATTAAGGAGGGAGGTAGACATGGGTGGAACCTGTTAAATCTGTGGATCAGTGAGCTTACAAGGATCTGGTAACAGGAACTGAGATGGCAATAGTTCTTTATAATTAGACACAGGAGATGCATGTATCATTCATTAAGATAGGTGAAATATAACGGCATTGACAAAGAAGAAATATATAGTCATTGACATAAGAGAAGAAATAGGTAGGCATTGACGTAAGATAAGAAATATGTAGTCATTGACGTAAGAGAAGAAATATGTAGGCATTGACATAAGAGGAGAAATATGTAGGCATTGCCATAAGAGGAGAAATATATAGTCATTGACATAAGAGAAGAAATGTAGGCATTGACATAAGAGGAGAAATATATGTCATGCATTGACATAAGAACAGAAATATGTAGGCATTGACATGAGAGAAGAAATATATGTCATACATTGACATGAAAATAAATATGTAGGCATTGACATAAGAAAATAAATATGTAGGCATTGACATAAGAGAAGAAATATATGTCATGCATTGACATGAAAAAGAATATGTAGGCATTGACATGAGAGAAGAAATTTATATCATACATTGACATAAGAAAAATATATGTAATGCATTGACATAAGAGAAGTAAACAAACAGTGATAGATTAGATCTATATCACACATTGACATAAGAGGAAGATAGATGCTTTGACATCAGTGTTGAGATATATATCTCATACATTGACGTAAAAGAAAATAAATAATCATTGACAATAGATTAGATAATATCTTACATTGAAGTAGAGGAGAAATATTTGGCATACACTGACAAAAGATTACATATATTCATGTGAGAAAAAACGTTTATACAGCATAGTCAAATGGGAAAAAACAGTCACAGTTGATATTTACATAATTATCTGGCTTCTGAAAAGCAGTATAAAACAGTATAAGACATTGACCCAAGTGGAGAAATTTCTATGAGGCAGATTTGGTGACTGTGTACCAGGTATATACTGTAAGATAATAGTTGAATATGGAACACTATGATAGGTAGAATGTGTCAGAGTAAATAGCAGTTAATTCATGTTCTTTTTGTCTTCTGAAAATAGTGGAAAAACAAACCTAGAAGTTACTTAATATCTAATTGCTTTTTTGTGATAATAAAACATGTTTAAAAAAACATAATTCCATGGACATGGTTCTTTTTGAATGTGTGGGAATATACATTTTTTAATCCTTGGGAACGTAAAAAGAAAAATGTAATGAGTTATTAAAATCAACTGGAATCCATGTTCCACACAGCCCTGAATCTGCATCCATTATGGGTGTATATTCCAGCTAATATTGACATGGCTATTAGGTCTGAGTAACTTCAAGGTAAAATCTCCAGTAAGCTGGGAGTGATGGGGAAACGTGTGAGTGTGCTCACTGACAGAAAGCAAACAAAGCAAACGAATCGTTTCAGTACGGTAAACATACTCAAAATGTATTGTGTGTCACAATCATAACAGGAAACAAAATGTTAAGCTATTCACAAACATGTCAGTTTGGATGCTGAGGTTCAGAAACACAGCAATTTGGTGATGGAGAAAAAATTGTGGAATTTTTAACAAGGCAATTTGTAGCGGAAGAAACATCCGTTATCCAACAAGCACTTTGTAATTGTCGATGATTTCATCACTATACCGAAAAAGACCACCCATCTTGTTTTGTCACAAATCTCAGTCCGAGAGCTCATCGGGACATATAAAACAAGTCAACATGCGAAAAGCTTGTCTTTCTGTGTACGTGAAACATCCACAAGTTTTCCTAATTGTTTGCGTAGAGGTAAAATACAATTAGATGACTAACACAGTGACTCTTTTGGACAGGTAAAATGAACATGACATACCAATTCCGCTACATCGACTTTGTACAGAGTAAGTAAAAGTCTGGCTGACCTGGGATGTCTCCTTGTTCTGTTCATTGTATGTACAGGGCAGGGAGACATCCCCAGGCAGTGAGACTGTAGCTGGAGCTTGGCAGACACATACACACTCCGGACAAAATTTTTGTGAAGGAAAGATACTGAAACAAACTCTAAACATATGATCAACTTGAACTCAAAATGAAGGACAGAATGGCTTTGGCAGTACATGTGGAAACACATCGAATGAGAATCCAACCTATACGACATTGTTTTTGTTTGATAATCATGAACACTCAGTTACATTTTTGTGGCCATTTTGATAACCCTTACAAAAATGTGAATATCTGTTTTGGAAGTAGGTCAGTGAATGTTGAATTATAATCGGAATAGGTATAAACTTACAAAATTTGGCTGTTACATTGAATTGTAGGTGCTATTTACCCTTATTTTACCCAAAAATGTCAGACATGAATGTTTTTTGGCACAAACCTTTATCTGCTGCTGTGTCGGAGCACATCTTATTATAATAATAGAGCAGGGTTTTCTTGGATAATTGTTTGATTATGATCAAGGACCTCTAAAACAGAAAATAATTTTAAGTCAAAAACTGTCAAACAGTTACATAAAGGATACAGCATTAGCATGATCTTTACCAAGAACATTCCTGTTCAAAATCGCTATTTGAATTTTACAAAGCATCAGAATTGTTCAAAAGTGACCATGTAACTTACATCCGAAAGTCCAGATGTTATGTAATGGATTAACATGGAGGAAAAGCCACCAGCAAAGTACCATCACGTCCTGGTTCGGACCAAATAATGATGAGCAGGTTTGTAGAAGATACTGCAGAGACAAATGAAGTTACTGTTCCCCATCAGGCTGATTCCAGGTAGTTATGTGATGGGGGATGCCAGTTCAAACATCCACAAACTAGATCAAAAAGGATTTTTTTCAACCCCAAAAATCAATGCTTGGAAGGAGGTTTCTATTTTTGGTATGACTCTATGCCGCTCTGGTTTGTATGGCTAGGCTTGCTAGGATACACTTCCTAAATCGCTGATGCAATTAATCTAATGTTTTTGTCGGGATGAATTCACAGGTGTTTATGGTGAGATGGCTAAATGTTTATATTGCTTGAAAGAAGTTAAGGAACATCAAATTCTTGCATTTTACTCTCTGTCATCTGTCTCGCCATGACACATTAACTTGTGTAACTTGAACGAATTGGTTGTTCTTTACTTATTTTGAGTAGTATATGTCTGGCCATCCGAGAGCTGGAAACAAATTATGTTTGAAGTTTGTTGTCTGCCAGGTTCCAGCAGTTATCCATGACTCATGATGGAAGATCAATTTGAAATTGATCTCTGAACATCTTCACAAATACACAATTTTCGTACATTTACACCAGTTAAACTGTTTGATTAGCAAAAAGAAAAAATAAGTTGACCTGTTTTTAAATGATGCCCCTTTTGACAGACTTAGAGTAAATGTTATGAAGATTTTGTAATTGTGATTTGTTTCTGTTTGTTCTGAGTAAACACCGTTTGAACATAACCAGAACTCCCACATGAAACCGCAACTTTTCAAAGACTATGTGTGACTCTCCCACGTCATTATCACATGACTCTCATGACGTCATTAGAGTGATTTTACAAAATCAACGTTGTCCATTCCTGATTCCTTAAGCTCAAAACAGTTTTTCATCGGTCACATTACAAACAGAAATAACACCAGTTATCCTTTCTGTCACCATGAATGTTTAACATTACTTTGTTTCACACAGTATTGTAATCCTACACATTTTTGCCCTTATTAGTTTCAAAACTGTATCTCTGATGCATGAATAACTCTTTGAAGGAATTTTTCTGAATTTTACGGCTGAGACTACACTTCAAAACTTTGTTAAAGACTTTGGCCTGATATAAACATTGATAGTATAATGTTGGTGCAACAATTTGGCCTGATATAAACATTGATAGTATAATGTCGGTGCAACAATTTGGCATGGTATAAACATTGATAGTATAATATTGGTGCAACAATTTGGCATGGTATAACGTTGATAGTATAATATTGGTGAAACAATTTGGCATGATATAAACATTGATAGTATAATATTGGTGCAACAATTTGGCATGATATAAATCCTGATATTAAGGGGCCCACCATGTTAATATCATATTGTCAGTCCGCAAGTTTTCCTCATGCTGTATATGGACTCTCTGAAAACTAACTTTTGAACATCATTTACATTACATAACATGCCCACCACATCTACGTGTTGATTTTTTTATTGATTTGTTTCCTTGTGATGGGATGTATAACAGTCACCAGTGCTCTGAAACAGGATTTCTACACAAGTGTGTTGAAATAATGATATGGTATAGCATTATAAAACATAACGTGGGTTGATCGTTGATTCTATGAATCCGACACATTGCAAGAAACTCTGTGATTTGTTTCAGGGATACAGTTTTGTCAGTTATTATTATTCCATGTGTTTTGTTGAACCAATTCATATCAAGTCCTTTTCTGCATTTCAGTTTCACTCATAAAAGCATTTTGTTTTACTAATTTTGAATGAATTCTGATTTCATGGTAACCATAATCAATGGTATTGTATCTTGATTGTTTGACTATTGATAAACACTAAACCAAATTGAATTAGAAATCGGAATTCATCAACTCTTTGAAGTGATGTCACTTTTCTTTGATTTCAGTTCTGCTGCTTGTTTTAGTTTGAAATTTTCCGTTTGTGTCCAGTACCATGAACAAGACCTTGAGAGTCTCTGATCTTTGTTTCAGGTCCACCCAGAATAACACTGGCCCCCAAAAGTCAGCTGGTAGCAGAGGAAGCTAAGGTGAGCTTCTTCTGCAAAGCCTCTGGCAATCCAGCCCCCTCCTTCCACTGGGAGAAAGGTAACAAGCGGATTAATCCTCGTCGGAACCGCTACCTCATCACAGAAGTTCCACATTTATCCGTGTTGAGGATAGACCCTGTCAAATCCAAGAGAGATGACGCCACATTTACATGTGTAGCCAACAACGGACAGGGCGAGGCTCGGGCCAACGCCACCCTCCGAGTCTACATGATGGTCGGCGATGTAGACGGTATGTTGTGTGTGTTGTTGCTGAATGTGTCAACTTTCACTAACTTTTATCTATTTAATCACACTTACACGTGACTCAGTCACAGTTTGTATGCCATTATTTGTTGAAATGATTGGTGAATGGAATAACGTCATTTCCTGATGAAGTGTAATATTCATAGACTGTTAAAAATTATGCATTTTCAGGTACTGTTACATTGTCACATCAGCAAGATATGTTCAAAATCAAAAGCCTGTTTATTCCAGACTACAGGTGAAACTTACAGTGGAGATCTTGTAGTTACTTACGATGGGGATTCTGTATTTACAATGGAGATTCTGTATTTACGATGGAGTTCTGATGAAACTTACAGTGGCGATCTTGTAGTTACTGATGGGGATTCTGTGGTTACGATTGAGCTCTCATAAAACTTTCAATTTGGATCTTGTTGGTACTTACGATGGGGATTCTATGGTTAATCTGATGAAACTTACAGTGGAGATCTTGTAGTTACTACGATGGGGATTCTGTGGTTACGATTGAGCTCTCATAAAACTTTCAATTTGGATCTTGTTGGTACTTACGATGGGGATTCTGTGGTTAATCTGTTGAAACTTACAGTGGCGATCTTGTAGTAACTTACGATGGGGATTCTGTGATTACAATGGCCATCTGATGAAACTTTCGATGGAGATTTTGTAGTTACTTATGATGGAGATTCTGCAGTTACGATGGATATCAGATGAAACTTATGGTGGAGATCTGGTAGTCATTTACTATGGAGTCGTGGTTAAAATGTCTAACCTAGGTGCTAGTTCTGTAGATAGTGTTGTCTGGTCCACTCGCTGCATTTTTCAAGTTACCACAATGGTTGTAATGGTGTTGAATGCAATATAATGCATCAAGTAAGACAAATCACAACTCAATACATTTCATGCAATTTCATCCACAGATTTTCGTGCATGAAAACTTGTAGATTTGAAATATGTACTAAACATTAGAAATGTCTATGTTGTTAAATCTATGTCTCAGAAACCCATACCCTGTCCCCATGGGTAGAATTTGTCCTGGGTAGCTAGCCTATGTAAGAGATGAATTAACTATGATATTGGGGAATCAGTGCTATGTCCCATGGATTTGTATGACGCCAGAGCACGAGACAGTGACAGACATGTTGTTGCCTACCATCACTCCTTCATTCATCTGTTGGGATTCAAGGAGTCTCTGTAAGAATCAGTAACTGGCAACCAATGGTGGTTGCAATGGCAACTAAATGAATCATGTGGTCAGGCTCAGTGACTTGTTTTGATGGTATTTCAGTATATGGATCATAACTCATATCAATCACAGGATTGTCTGATCCAGATTACCTACAGGCACCCTGTCAAATATCTGTGTCTCTGCCTGTGAAGATCTGGGTTAGATTTGGTCTTCAGTAACCCATGATTGTCGTAGGAGGCAACTAACAGGTGGTCAAGCTCACTGACTTGGTTGACACATGTCATGCGTAGTGATGCTCATGCTGTTGATCATTGGATTGTCTTGTCCAGACGTGATTATTTGCAGACTGCCACCATATAGCTGGAATATTGCTGAGTGTGGTGTTAAACAAACAACCAACCAACCAACCATGTCTCTACAATCTGATCTAGTAAGGCTGTCCCAGTCATTTGTCAGGTTTTTCTTATTAGCGCTAAAGCAGTTATAATTCCATATCACAGTAGTATACAATCCTTCTAAAGCAATCACAATCACCTTTCATTTAATTAAAGGGTTCTGATATTAGTGCTAAGGCAGTCATAATCCGATTGTCATCCCACGACAGAGTCTCTGCTATGAGCACTAAGGGAGTTATAATCCCATATCACTTTACTATTGGGTGTTGGATAAAAGAGCTAAGTCAGTCGTAATCCCATGTGATATCACATCATAATCAAATATCGTGTATAAAACTATGTATCACTGCACTGTATGAATATTAACCCCACAAAGGTGTCAAGGACTATGGTGTCAGGGATCTTAACCCTATAATGATTAGAACCTTTAGGTTTTGGTGGCCACAAACATCTACACATATCTAGTCAAACAAAACTTCAGACAAGCAGAATTCAGTTTCTGTATAAAGAGCATCCAGGTTGCAAAACCTCCAGCAAGACGTGGGGCAAGCTCTCCCAGTATGGTCATTAAATTAAAATGGATTGAGTATCTGTCGTGTGGACAGAGATTGAAAAGACGCAGGTCCAGAGTGCATTGGACTTGGTATCAGTGAGCATCAATTTCTTCTCTCTTGCAATTTCCACCAGTCTCCAGACTATGTTGCTATAGAAGCACTAGCATCAAATTGAAATTGACCAAATTTATTTTGAAATATAATTGCCCAAAGATGTTTTTAAGATGCTACCCTGGAAGACTTGTGAGTGAAATATGTGGACAACAGTTTAAGTTTGAAAGTTTGAGGAACTGGCTGGGGAAACATGAGCATAAAGTGAACATTATACAATACACTGGTTGGCTCCCTGGGAATAGTTCCTTTTGGTTGTTTAAAAAGTCAGTTCCTATATAATTGATAAAGCAATATTAACAGCTTTAACATAAAAAAAATAGACATTTGTTAGGGATTCAAATTTTTGTGTAGTTGTCATATCTATTAAGATCAGACATTTTTTAGTATTTTAAATGATATATTTTTAAGTTTGCAGTAAAAGATTCTTCTGTGGATGTTCTGACTAGATTCTGTGATATTTTAGTTCCTTCTAATCCTCAGTAGTTGTTAAAAGATAGTACTTATTTTTACCTTCTGTTATTTGACATTTAGGGAATAAGACAAGGCCTGTTGGCTCTGTGAGTATACTTTGAGCCTGGTATACATGTTAAACTGCAGTATTTTGTCTAGGTGGGCTAACACTGTGTAACCAGCACTCATAAACATACATGCACATCACTCTGTATTATAGTGGGGTAGCCTAGTGGTTAAAGCGTTCGCTCGTCACACCAAGAACCGGGTTCCATGCCCACATGGGTACAATGTGTGAAGCCTATTTCTGGAGTTCCCTGCCGTGATGTTCCTGGAAGTGGTGTAAAACCGTACTTACCCGATCGTATTACAGGGAGCAGTGCCTAAAGTGTTCACTCGTCACACTGAAGACAATCTTTTAATTTTCTACATGGGTGCTTGCTAGCTCACTCACTCTGTGTATTATCTGTGCAGTAATCTTGAATGGGGCGGTGGGGTAGCCTAGTTGTTAAAGCATTCGCTCGTCACGCCGAAGACCCGGGTTCGATTCCCCACATGGGTACAATGGGTGAAGCCCATTTGTGGTGTCCCCCGCCGTGATATTGCTGGAATATCGCAAAAAGCTGCGCAAAACAATGCTCACTCACTCACTTACTAATCTTGAATGTGACGTTAAACCCGACTTTTAGTCTACCCCACCTCATCAGAGTTACAGTAAGTCATATCTTCATATTTAGGTTAATCAAGACCTTCAAGAAGGTCCTTTCAGTAAGCTTCTGTAAAGAAAATTTTCATGAATGCAAAGTACAACTGTCCATAAGAAATAATTGTGTTACAAGCGGTCAGTGGAGACTGAATTGACTTCATTTGGACGAAAAAGAACCTGAAGTCTATAGGCCACCCCATCTCCATGATTTTGTTAATTCAGACAGTTAGGGAACAGAACTATATGGATTAAGAAATCTTCAGTGTACTGCTGATAATCTGGAGGAATTTAGGTGGTCAAGCTTCAAGGTCATGTGACCAGCAGTCGGTGACCAACTGACGGTGTTGGTTAATGACCATCAGTCTGAGACCTGGTGATTACCGGAGCGTCTATCTGCCTCGGATCTGGTTCTCACTGATAGCATGGCTTGCCAACACTCTCTGTCGTCCTGTATGACATCATCAGCCCAACATGATGTAATCTTTCCTTTGATTGGATGGCTGTTGTCAATAAAACGTGGATGGGATTGTTACACTTGAAGTCAGGAGACTAATTGAAGTCCGTAGCCATGACTGTTCATCTCCATTTTAACAGCTTCATTAATCAAATATGGTTGTATTTGCATCTTTTGACCGATTGCCCCGTAGTTTGGTTAAGTGCCTGACACAGCTGTTATCGTCACTGCAAACACCATGGTGTCTGTCTTCATCCCCATGGGGCTGTTTTTGTGCTTTAGTATCGCTAATAGTGGCTTAAAACACTACTCAGTTAATCATTTTTGTTGTGATTGCACTTACATAACATAGTTCTGGAATTTACTAAATAGTTTCAAAGTATTCCAAAGGTTTATGCATCTGAGTCTGTTTGAGTATGGTTTTACAAACCTTTATGAAAATTCCATCTACAACTAAATAACAGAACACATTGCACCCACCTGCAGAATTAAACCTGTGCCCCTGTCATACCAAGCAAGTGCTGTAACCACTAGGCCACCTCATTTGTAGGAATAATGAGTGAACTAATGATGGATATAGGATGTTTGTATGTTTGGCCTTGATGGCAGAGGGTGCTCTCAACCTGTCATGACAAAGTTAATCCTGAAACTGCCAAACACTGCCAAAACCAACAAGACCACATCCCCATTGTAATGAAAATAACATGGATATCCATCCTACCACCTGGGAAATACAGCTCTCCGTGCTGACCCAGTGGCAGTGATGTGCATGTTGATGTGGCGTGCAGAACTTAGTGGGAGTTCATCTTAGATTTGTAAAGGCTGCCTGCAGTAGAACACCTGATATACTGATGATTGCAGAGTTAAATCCTGGCTGTTTAGTTGACAATGAAGAATTATGTAATGCATGTGTCACCTTGGGGAACATCTTTCTTGTAGTTATCTTGTAAGGGACTGATTGTCTTTTATTAGTGAATATGTGAAGCCCATTTTCTCTCCTGCCATGATATTGCTGAAAGCAGTGTAAAATCCAACTCACTCACTCAGTCACTCACATGAAACTGGTCAAAGTGGTGTCATTCCTAACACCCTCACTCACACTTGGCATCTGTTTGATCTTTAGTGTA